GGGTATGAACCAAGATTTACAAGTAAATTTCTGTACTCTTGGTATCATTTTACAGAAATCTAAATGCTGCCTTTCAACATTATCTCCTCAATGGAAACCCCAGACCTCAGAAGCGTAATAAAGAACATTACCAACATAAGTGAGTGAGTTGGGTTTAACGCCGCTTTTAACAGTATTCCAGTTATATCGCGGTGTGTCAGCTTAATGTGGGAGGAAAGCCCGAATTGATGCAGGTTCCAGACGTTTACCACTTCGGTGAAACCCATGAGCACGGGTATTGTGCTGACAAACCTAGAAACATAATCGGGGCGAACCGGGATTCGAACCCACAATCATAGGTTTCTGGCGTGCCCAAGGGACGCAACTCTGCACAGCGAATCGCGGCGCCTTAGACGACTGGGCCACCCATGCGCCCTCTACCAAAATAAGAGTCAAATAAGGAAAGAATAGATTTGAGCAGAAAGTCCTGCCATTGTTGAAAAGAAAGAAACGATGTTTCCTACCCTGATTCGACACCTGTATTTCAGCTCTTGTAAACGTATTACATTGATACAGGACAATTCCCAAATATGTACAACAATCAACAGCTTTATTCTGATACCTCTGCCCCAGCGATATGACTTTACCACTCTTTCTTAAAACAACCACCCTTTCTAAAGACAACTAGTTTTGTTTTAGAAATGTTAACTTCTTATCCCCAAGTAATAAAATAAGGAGCATTTTGTGTAGCCCATTTTCAGAAAATATCACAAGGTCATCAGCATGTATTAACGAATAAACACACTGAAAGAGACGTAGACCCTTTATGGGTTGCAAATATCTTCCTTGAATGCCATCTCAAGAGTGAGTGAGTGAATATGGTTTTACGCCGCTTTAAGCAATATTCCAGCAATATCACGGCGGGGGACACCAGAAATGGGCTTCACACATTGTACCCATGTCGGGAATCGAGCCCGGATCTTCGGCGTGACGAGCGAACGCTTTAACCACTAGGCTACCCGACCGACCTTCCATCTCAAGATCATTCACATATAGAGAATACAATATCGGCGACAACGGCTTCTCCTGCATGAAGAAATGCCTGTGGTCCTATGCACAGCACACAGGTCGCAAATCAGGTGTAGCAGCGTCAATCGCGGAGAGTAGTCAGACGGCCGAATGCTTGCGGCAGCGTGACTCCTGGAGTTTCAAGGCTTCGATCCTGCCCCACTCTAAAATTTATGCACCACATGTGGAGTCTTCAAAGGCGAGTGTTTTTGTTCGAAATATGTAACTGGGGTCCATTGACAGGGGTAATAAGTGATTATGTTAATATTGGCTGTTAAAAACATTAACATCCACACATGATCACACATTAAGATGTACAGAATATATTACTGATATACTTCCTCTGATGCCTATCTCCGCTAACTTATACCACAGTTTATACCCCTCACTGGGGTCAAATGCACATTTGAGGTATACAAATGCACATTATTAATGTATAGTAGTATGTAGTGTATGACGGATTAACGAATGTAAAGGGAATATAGTATCGACAGTGCTGAGATGTGGGTGGAATCCAAGCAGAATTTGTAATATCACTGTTTTCTACAGACCAAGTCAAAAGCAGCTTACTATTAATGATACTCGTAACATGTCACAACTGATAAGACGAATTCAATGACAATCACCAGGTTCATCTTCTCAAACACCGGTACAATTACAGCTGCAGACCAACTGTTAGGAAAATAAACCTTTAAAACACGATTAAATATTTTATTCATTATTGGAACTAAATAGATAGATAATTCTTTATTACCCAAGGGGGTATTTCCCTTACATCTAACAGAGTTCACAGGTGCATAAAATAACAGCGATACGTAGCACACACACACACACACACACACACACACACACACACACACACACACACACACACACACACACACACACACACACACACACACACACACACACACACACAAACAAACACACACAAACACACACACACACACACACAATCACAGGAACATAAAATTACAGCAATTCATCGCACACAGCGCAAACACACATATAAACAATCACAAGTACACAACATTACAAAGAATTAGCAATGCTGAGCAATAAAACTGTTTTCAAAGCACCATGTAAAATAAAAATGCGAAAAGGAATAAATAGACTAATTTACGCTGATAAACGTACAGTGTCGCAGGCATTTACAAAAAAAAAGATTAATAGCAATGAATCAGATTTTATAACAACGATTTACAAGAGAAACGCTGGTTGGAGTTAAGGCGTTGTTGGCTCTGTTTGTCACTTTTGGAATTTGAAACCCGAAAGTAAAAGTTTATAATTTGAAATTAAGCTGTGACTTGGGTCATTGGTGATTTTATTCATGTGATAACACGTTGTCCATCATATACAAAATAAAATATTATCAAAAGGCATAACGACAGTTCTGCTTCTGTTTTGTTTTTGTTAGGAACAGACAGAGATCAATACCAACATTGCATACAGAAAGTTAAGACACTTTTAACAGTTGTATCAAACTTCATTTGAGAAATTACTCTTTTATTCCATGTTGTTTCCTATATTAAACTTCAGGACTACTAATCATAGATTACCCGTTGTAACTGGTCGATGGCTCTGTCAACATGGTAATTTACTTGCAGTGGGAAATGAGTTTCATTATTTATTTAGGTGTGCGGATTTCCTCCAACAACCATATGATCTCTTAAATAAAAAATACCTTAAGTTCCTAAATATCAATCAATTTAAGGAAATATGTGTGTTCTTGACAAGCACTAAATAAGAACAGTTATCGATTATTCTTCTACAAAACTAGTGTTTGAAAATCATAACAACCTTAGGAACAGTAAAATCTACTGTCAGAATGCAAATGTTAGCAACTGATATCTTTTTAAATATCTATCCAAATATTCTTTACTTTTCACAAAGAAGTATATACATAGATATTTAGCTATACTGGTTGGTGTAGAAAATTAGTATTCACTTGTTGGTTGGAAATGGTAGGGCGGGCAAAGTACCCCATGTTTGTGTTTTGAACCTCGCAGTGCCATGTGTGACCTGGCTAATTGTGCCATATTAACTCGCAGTGCTATGTGTGACCTGGCTAATTGTGCCATATTAACTCGCAGTGCTATGTGTGACCTGGCTAATTGTGCCATATTAACTCGCAGTGCTATGTGTGACCTGGCTAATTGTGCCATATTAACTCGCAGTGCTATGTGTGACCTGGCTAATTGTGCCATATTATCTCGCAGTGCTATGTGTGACCTGGCTAATTGTGCCATATTATCTCGCAGTGCTATGTGTGACCTGCTAATTGTTCTATATTAACTCGCAGTGGGTTTCATTGCTCATGTTTTCAATCATTGATCTGCCTGAGCTGGACACAATTATTCCTAAGCCGCAGAGATGAAGCTGGGGTTTAACCTCACTGTGCCCTCACCCCAAATGTGAGGGGATTATAGGGGAGCGGAAGGTCCGGGGTTCGATCCCCGGCCGCGTCATACCAAAAGAGGTTAAAAGATGGTACTTGTTGTTACCCTGTCTGGCGTTCGGCATTAAGGGGCTAAAACAAGGTTTGGTCGGCTCGGAGTCCGTATACTGTGTCTGAGTGGGGTATTCATGTTAAACTGCAGCATGGTATCTCAGTGTGCTAGCACTATAAATCGGCATCAGTCCGGACTAGTACAAGCAGCCACACACACACACATACAAGTGCATGCACGTCGCTATATAAGTGCAATAATCTTGGACGCGACGTTAAACCCCATTTCACCACACCACCTCACCTTATCTGTACATACAAATCAGTCAATGACCGCAATGTCTCTGGTTCACATATGGTATTAATTACAAAGTCGACACTTGAGCAGGGCACCAGACAGTGACGCATAATCTCTTAAAGGTGGACTAGCTTCAGGTTAATTGCCAGTCCCAGCAAATGTAATTCAATAGCACCGCTTGGTTTCTTTATTTTCTGTGCATCAATTTAGCAGTTATTACCCAGATTACACGGAGATAAGTCCCCAGGTTCCAACATTGTATTAAAGCTTTTCGTTATGCATAACATTCATGTAACCACCAGACGGTTGGGTCAAGTCTTGTGTATTACCCGTAGACATAGTTTGTTAAAACGAATAAACACACCTGAGTTCCGTTGCACAAAGCGATCTTAGCACTATGGTGATTGTAACTCCCATACCTTAACATATACTTACGACTGTCGACCGCCTCCGTGGTCTAGTGGTAGAGCTTCCGCCCGGAGAGTGGAAGGTCCGGGGTTCGATCCCCGGCCGCGTCATACCAAAAGACGTTGAAAGGTGGTACTTGTTGTTACCCTGTCTGCCGATCGGCAATAACGGGCTAAAACAAGGACTGGTCGGCTCGAAGTCATTTTACTGTGTCTGAATGGGGTATCCATGTTAAACTGCATGATATCTCAGTGTGCTAGCACTATAAATCGGCATCAGTCCGGACAAGTACAAGCAGCCACACACATACACATGCATGCACGTCGCTATATAAGCGCAATAATCTTGGACGCGACGTTAAACCCCATTTCACACCACCTCACCTTACGACTGTCGTAGTGCTTAGGTTGTTTTGTACAATGACACCATTACAAGATAGACACAATTTTTATGGATAACAACTTCTTTAATACTGTGAAAAGCGACGTTTCGGTATAGATCGGTATAGATCCTTATACCGTTGTCAAGCAAGTTTTGCTTGACAACGGTATAAGGATCTATACCGAAACGGCGCTTTTCACAGTATTAAAGAAGTTGTTATCCATAAAAAAATGTGTCTATCTTGTCATCCGTCAACTTCTAAGTAATGCCTATCAAACAATTTGACACCATTACATTGACTAACGCGTGTGCGTTTAGTCCCATGTATTTGTTTAGTGGTATTACTCTTCCCGGTGTTTCACAATCACGTGATAAGATGTACTCCAGTTTCCTCAATCGTAAAACCAACAATTCACACAATCAAAACACCTCACTGACATTACATCACCCGTTGTCTTCCAGACAATGCTAAATGGCAAGCCAAGCCACCACATGACCGCGTTACTCCACTCGACCATACAGAGTGAGTAGAGTGAGTTGCGGGGTGTGATCAGCCAGTAGCGACGGCTACCCGTTTAAGCCAGGCGCATTTGAAGACCTGATAGACGAGCGTTTTAAAACGTGGAGGTCACAGCGATCACGAGCACCTGAGTTGGACAAGGAGAGATCATTCGTACATATTTCGATATGTTGTGGATTTGAGAGGGTTAGAATGAAAGCATCAAGGTACGTTTGTGTTTTGTGTTTGTATACAACATAGTTAGTTGACCATCCTTGAATTTATCTTTATCTTTTTAATTTCAATCGGACATTTTTGGATTAGGTCTCGTTCACACAACATTCATCAGATGTAGAGTTCGAAACGTACTTTTCGTTATTATTGCTTCAGATTACCGTGATGAACACATATTTATGATAATAAGAACAGTAACAATGATAGTTATTATATTGATTTTTCCAACCCTTATCAATGTTGATTATTGTATACATTCGATACATATTCCAAATTTAGATCAGGTTAAAAGCACCCGGGATAACATGTTTGTAACAGTCGTCTAAAATGGGGTTCGGCTGTAGCAGGTGACCCAGGGGAGCTTGGAAATGTGCATAAAAATAATAATACAGCACCACTAATATAAAGTTAGGAGAGACGATTCAAAACTAAACGATACATGCATAGAAAACTGTTTTTTTTGCTTTGCAATATTAATTTAATGAGCACGTATTTGGCAGTGACATATTTTTCATGTTTAAACAGGACACCACTTATCAACAGAAATCTACTTCAGACTTTACAACATATAATTTACCATGGTGCACCACGCTTTTGTTCGTTTTTTTTCAACATGGTAACTTCAACTCTGTCACTACAAGGACATATTGTGCTATATATATGTATAATATCAACAACCTACCAGTTATATGTCATTATAAAAAAACGAAATTTGGGAGATTGAGTTATTCGTAGCATTTTACAGCTCTTGTTGGGAACTAATAACATGTAATTTGTTTATTAGTTAAAACAGGGAAAGCTTTCCTCAAATATATAACAATAATATTTCCTAAACACGTGATAATTTCGTTGGTACGTAATTATTATAATGTACATTTTCGACGGTATGAAAATGAACTATTGACCAATCAATGCCAATGACAGTTGTATACACACTATTTCAAATATTTTATCTTTATGAATTGACTTCAAGGCGGATATTTTATGAACTGTAAGTCTAGTTCGTGCCCACTGACTCTGCCGGGCGGAAATGTAACTTTCATGATAACAATACAAGGTATTACTCCAGGCAAGCTGTGGCTGATTGCTCACTATCCACACTCAGACAGAGCTAATCCTAAACGTTTCAGCTTCGTTGAACGTTTGACAGGGTCAAATGTACAGACACACCTCAACCCCTCCGCGTCTTAACTTAAGTGAGTATTGGGTTTATTGGCGTTACAAGTTGGTGAAGTCTCGCTTTTATTAATCGAAGCATATATTTCGACGGGAACTAGGTCCTCAGTGCCCAAAGACTGAAAATATAAAAAAAAGTCAACGAGAGAATTATAGATTATTTGCCGAAACTGGGCGGAGAAGAAAAATTATATGAGCAGTGGGAATTATATGAATGGATCACTGAAAATCAGGGATGACACCACAGACATGAGTATATGGTCCTAACACAAGTGGTTCCTAAAGTTTCAATGTGATTAGAAGCAGTGTAGGAAAGCTTTCACAACGGACAGGCAGGTTAGAGACAGGACAGGCAGGTTAGAGGCAGGGCAGGTTAGAGGCAGGACAGGCAGGACAGGCAGGTTAGAGGCAGGACTGGCAGGTTAGAGGCAGGACTGGCAGGTTAGAGGCAGGACAGGCAGGTTAGAGGCAGAACAGGCAGGACAGGCAGGTTAGACGCAGGACAGGCAGGTTAGAGGCAGGACAGGCAGGACAGGCAGGACAGGCAGGACAGGCAGATTAGAGGCAGGACAGGCAGGTTAGAGGCAGGACAGGCAGATTAGAGGCAGGACAGGCAGATTAGAGGCAGGACAGGCAGATTAGAGGCAGGTTAGAGGCAGGACAGGCAGGTTAGAGGCAGGGCTGGCAGGTTAGAGGCAGGACAGGCAGGACAGGCAGGACTAGCAGGTTAGAGGCAGGACAGGCAGGTTAGAGGCAAACCATGGTTCTTTCATGATGCCATGAACATAATTCACAGCCACATATATTTATCAATAAAGGCAAAATAATGGTAAGTGTTTCAATATAGCCTTTGTCTACCTATCAAATATTCTGCTGGATTTGAGGCGGTGGGGTAGCCTAGTGGTTAAAGCGTTCGCTCGTCATGCCGAAGACCCGGGTTCGATTCCCGACATGGGTACAATGTGTGAAGCCCGCCGTGATAAATGTAGAGTATTGCAAAAAGCAGTGTGAAACCACACTCGCTCACTCCGCTGGATTTAGCTGTTGTATTTTTCATAAAGTAATATCTTCCCAAAAATGCTGAAATACATTTTGTATCATGTTTTACAACATCGTTCACTGGACATGCTGGCTTCTGAACAATAACGTGGTTTATAAATTAAATCATTGATTTATGTGACTGATAACGACGACATATCCAGGTGAGCTAAGAAGTTCACGAGACGAGTTGCGATTGACGTCAAGGCCTGTTTTGTTAGGCTTGGCTTTACGTTGACTGATGTCAAAACATGTGGAGCTGTACACTTCATTGCACAACTTAAAGTAAATATGGCGTTACACAGTGAACCTGTCTGTACAGCTAAATAATGACACGACGCAAATGTTGAAACAGGATATGTCACAGCTCGAGGATCAGTTATAAAGACAAGTGACGGACACACGTAGTTTAAGCAGTTCATGTGTTCAGTTGGACAACCGCACCTCGTTGACACGAACCCTCGTCTACCGGAAAACGTATATTGTCGACAAGTTGTAAATATGTACAGAATATTTTCGTTTTTTATTAAATTAAATCATACCAATCATACTACCTTTGAAAAAAATAGTATTATGTTAGAAAAGCAAATGTAAACCGAATTTTATTAATTATCCAAATATTATTTAATTTGCATGAAACAGGATATATAAGTTTGATTAGAAGTATATAGTTATACTGGTTGGTGAAGTAGTATTCACTTGTTATGAGACCCGTCAAGATCCGGGATAGAACAGGTTTTCAGGAACGCATACTTGCCGTAAAAGGCGACTATCTTAGTCGTAAGAGGCGACTAACGGGATCGGGTGGTCAGGCTCGCTGACTTGGTTTATGCATGTCATCGATCCCAATTGCGTGGATCGATGCTTAGGATGTCAATCACTGGATTGTCTGGTCCAGACTCGATTATTTACAGACTACCGTCATATAGCTGGAATATTGCTGAGTGCGGCGTTAAACAACAAACACACACTTGTTATGTAGATGTTTGTGTTATGAACCGCTCAAATGTTATGTGTGACCTGGCTAGTTGTGCCCTATTAACCCACAGGGGTCATTGCTCATGCTATTAATCATTGGTTTGCTTCAGCCAGGCACAGATATGTAAAGTCTCTGAGATAAAGTTGTACAGCGTGCAAATGGAATTACTCACAGCAATGTCAAAACAAATAACCTTCTTTGGACACGTTTAATACCATCTCTTTTGTCTTGTTACAGGTAGGAATAACAAACAAGTCAGCTCTCATCTTGAGTCTAGGTTCTGTTCTGCCTGTCAAGATGAAGGCGAGGCTGATGGGCCGGGTTAAGAGCGCTCTCATCGTAGTGGGCGTGGTCTCTGTGCTTCTGCCAACGAGTCTGATCCTCACCTCCAACATCCGCGCTGATACCTCGAGTGACACAATACAACGTAAGATCATTATTCCCAGTTGGTCCAAGAGAGGATAATTAAGACAATTTGCACGAAGCATAATAATGACATGCATCCGTCAACATTATTGAAGTAAGCTTGGCACCTATATTACCTTAATGCATAATAACGTCAGTCTGTCACTGATTCAAATGGACAAGTGGTCGCGATTGTTATTTTGGAAATGTAGACGTCAACGCCAGACAATCGCTTCGGTTATCTGCCGAAACAGATGCCATTGTGCATAATGCGAACTAGGGGAGACAATTATATGAATGGATCACTGAAAATCGATGACACCAGGTGTCCAAAGGGTAAGCATGTCCTGCTCTACCTGTAGCACTCGCTATGAACTCTTTCTTGATTGAAAGAATCATTTGTGTATATACAGTAAACTACGGTTATAACGAACTCAAAGGGGCCATTAATTTTAGTTTGTTATAACCGTTGTTCGTTATAAGCATATATACAGAATATATGCAACAAATGGCCGCAACCAAGAAATAAGTTCGTAATATCAGTAAGTTTGTTAAAAGCGTGTTCGTTATAAACGGTCAGAACAGTGAGTTTTGTTAACACCTCTTTGGTTAAATCCACGTGCACGGTATGGTGCGGACCTAGAAACATAACCAGGGTGAGCATGGGCATCAAACCTACGATCACAGAATTCTGGCTCGGCTAAGGGACGCAACTCTGCACAGCGAATTGCGGCTCCCTAGACGACTGGGCCACCTGTGTGTCTCGGATCTGAATATAACGTTAAGTGATATATGTATGCAGTGCAGGTCAACAACTTTTTTACTTTTGAATTTCTCCATATTTGTAATAAATAGTTGTCATGTGTTCTTCAAGAAAATGACAATGTCGATTACTACAATAGGAACATACGTCATGTCATGTGATTCGTCAAAGAGCTTCACTGATATTTCTCAAAACGAATAAGTAAGATGATCAACAAATAAATGGTTGAAGATGTGTTGAATATGATATTGAGAATATGATATTGAGATGGGGTCAATAACGACTATAATGATTATTAATAATTATTATTTATGTTTATTTCCAACATAGCCTGAGGTACAAATACACACACAATCTCATGATTTTACAGCATTCATAATAAATGATCAAACATATGTATACTTCTTGCATTGTTGTGGTAATTTAGCGACTACTTTGGTTGATAAGGGAGATCTGCTTCAAGACGATTGCATCATTGTTCGAGCCATATCACAGATTGTGCTCATCATTATCCACTATACTACTGCACCGTCATTATCATGATGAGCATGATCATGATGATCGTGGTCATGATATTGCTTGCATGGCTCAAACTTAACGATAAGCATGATTATGTATATTTGCTTATTTCAGGGGTCTTTGTTGAGGCGACTCGACTGAAGAAACTGTTATCTGTAGCTGAGGCGGTAAGTTTGATTAGCATCATTGATATATTATTGTAATGAAGATGCAAAGTAAGGACCAATTGTCTGCTATGTCTGAAGAATACACATGGCAATATTCATTCAGGTGTGGGCAGAACAATCTATTGTTTCTCGCGTTTATGGTGACACACACGGGATACAAGACACATACCCTGTTTTCTAAATGAAGCGACAAAACGTTTTCCATATCCAATAAAGCATTGTCGATCGAACGATTCAAACCATATCATAGGCATGTGTTTTCTAAGGAAGTAATCAAAACGACTGTCGGCATGGACAGGTTAATCGTTTGTATTAACGGTTTTATAACTAAAATGGAACTTTAATAACGTGTACTGTACCAAGTGGCAATCAACGTAACGTTACTTCTTTGACGTAACGTTACGTTTCTGGAGTCTATATGTGGAGAATGAAGTATGAGTAAGTTTGACATATGGCGTTTTGTATGTTCCAGGACTCAAGGCAACACGACAACCGCAGGGCAGTGAGGTACCGTAATCGCCAAGAATTCTGTGCAGCTAAAGGAAACACCGTCATCACGCCCGAGATGTTTAAGCATATCATTGTCAACGACAAATATAAGATTTTGTATTGCCAAGTACCAAAGGTCGCCTGCACAAACTGGAGACGGGTCATGTTGATCCTCACGGGGAAGATGAACACATCGGAGCCAATGGAGCTGAAGGCCTCAGCAGTCCACGGTGCTTATGATGACTATTTGACTTACCTCAGTGACCTCCCAATTAATGACATCAAATATAGGCTGAAAAACTATTACAAGTTTGTGTTCACTCGTGAACCCTTTGAGAGAATATTATCAGCTTACAGGAACAAGTTTAAAGGGAACAATCCTTTCTTTCACAAACGCTACGGGAAGAACATCGTCAGAAGGTACCGAGTGAATTCCTGGAACACAAAGCCAGATGGTAAAGACGTGTCATTTAATGAATATGTTCATTATCTAACCGACTATACACGCAGGGAACCTCTTAATGAACACTGGGAGAAAATGACAGAGCTTTGTCATCCTTGCCTTATAAAGTATGACCTTGTAAGCTCCTATGATGACCTAGAGACGGACTCGGTGCGTCTTCTTGACAAGATTGGAGCGTCAAGGATCCTCCAATTCCCGAAACGATCGGCGTCATACAAGCACGCAGGAACTGAGGAGCTTCTCCGTCAGTACTACAGCCAGATCCCACCAGTCATGTTGGATCAGCTCATGGAAGTGTATTATCCAGACTTTCTCATGTTCAGGTACAAGGTTCCAAACAGTCTCCGGAATCTCACACACTGGCAAGTCAAGCTATGAGACAATAGGCACTGTTCACAACAGTCTTTGTCATTCGTGAAGGTGTATTGCAATGAACATCCTTCCTTATGGTGTATTACAATGGATACCGTTCGTGAAGGTGTATTACGATTATGGTACCGTTCGTGAATGTGTATTGCAGTTGATACACTTCGTGAAGGTGTATTACAATGGGTACCATTCGTTAAGGTTTATTGCGATTATGGTACCGTTCGTGAATGTGTATTGCAGTTGATACACTTCGTGAAGGTGTATTACAATGGGTACCGTTCGTGAAGGTGTATTACGATGGGTACTGTTCGTGAATGTGTATTGAAGTTGGTACACTACTTGAAGGTGTATTACAATGGGTACCCTTCGTGAAGGTGTATTACAATGGGTACCGTTCGAGAAGGTGTATTGTATTAGGTACCGTTCGTAAAGGTGTATTGCATTGGGTACCCTTCGTGAAGGTGTATTACAATGGATACCCTACGTGGATATGTATTACATTTGGCACCCTTCCCGGATGTATATTATGATGATTACCATTACCAGTGTGGGGTACCGTTCGTGAAGCAACTGGCCCTTCTAACTGGCCTACAACCCTTCGTGAAGATATATTTCAATGGCTACCGTTCGTGAAGGTGTATTGTACTGGGTACCGTTCGTGAAGATGTATTACAGTTGATACCTTTCGTGAAGGTGCATTACGATGGAGGTGTACCAGTAACTGGTGGAGATGTATTACTAAATAATATGGAGGTATATTAAATCCGGTGCCAACAGGGCCACGGACAGGTCTGGGAAATATTATCGCTACTTGCATGTTTGTGATGGCTGTCTTGATATGTCAAATTCGATCATAACAGCCGTGGGTTGTATTGACTTCATGTTAAGGTTTGATCTAACCGGCCATGAATTGCATTGCAATTGTGAATGGACTTATTTGATCATGCTAGTTTTGACTTATTTTTTAATGCAAATTGTACGAGTGACGGGTGCTACCGATAGGGCAGGACAAACTTACCCTTTTCGCGAGCACCCGGTGTCATCACTTGTTTTTCTCTTGCATTGACGTTATATATTTATATTGTATTATCGACTTTTGCATGGTTTAGTCATTCCAATCACAAGGTGTATTGCAATTACCTTTATTTGAACGGGGTTTTTTCATCACATCATACATGATCTGAATTCCAACGATATTCCATTTTGTCTGAATATCAATGGGACTTGCAAAAGTAATAAATTGATACTTTTGCCAATGAATTTGAGTTTCATTGATCTTTATACCTCAGTGCAAAGTCTTCGTGGTAGTGGACAGTATACTAATATAGTCTTTATACTAATTCGAAATTGTTCACAGTGGTGAGATATTTCTATTAGTTTGTTTGAAAGACTTGATAGCGAACGTAAGAGACGACTAAAATGAAGATGGTATGGTAGAGATGGTAGAGCTCTGATTTGGCTGATTATGTGTCGTTGTTCCCCAAAGGCTGTCCAGTCCATCATACTATCAAACTCTGCTTTGCCTGGGCCAGATTCAATCATTACAAGGCCGTTGTGATATAGATGGAAGATTACTGCGTACACTAACAAGGTGACTTTAGCCGAAGCCGACGCCTCTACTGTGAGTAGATCGATGCTCATGGTGTCAATCACTGGATTGTCTGGTCCAGACTCGATTATTTTCAGACCGCCGATAACTCGTTTAAATGTATATTTGAAAAATACACGATTTACAAACGTGATCACCAGTTAAGAACTAGTGTATCATAGCCCAATAGAAGGGTACATCTCTGACTAAGCCCCCTTTGTAGATATGCACCTTAATACATTAATTAGTACAAGATCACCATTTTGTTACTCTAGATGGTCGCGAGTACAAGGTCTCATCATAGTAGGAAGGAAAATAGAAGTAAAAAACTGTTGAGAGCAGTTAAAAAACAAGCTTAGATTATTGACTTCGGTTGCTGTATTTCAATATGAATATGTCACACGTGAACAAAAATAAATGTGTTTTGTCCTAAAGTTAAAAAATGATGCTATTTAAAAACAACTATGAATTTCCATATGTAAGTATATGGAAGAGGTGCTGAAATTATTTCCAGTCGTATATAACACGTAAATGTCAGCACGACTCGACTGTGGGATGGGTTGTTCCCACACAGAATGTTCAGAATGTAAATCATAGCTCTATCACCATATCTCTATACAAAGCCTTGACGTCGCCTTCGGACGTTAAAATTCTAGACTGTGATACAGTTACTTCCAAATTGAATGCCTGCTTTTTTATGCCCGATGTTGTCATGTCTATAACTCCCACTTGTCGCCCCAAATGCAAGCCGCCGTGTCGCAAACAAACATGTCTCATCCAGGGTGGATTTCGAAATGATGGCTTCTCTTGTTGCCGGTGTCACGCGTTGTTGGTTGACAGAGCTGTATGTGTATCAGAACTCCCTCTCGCCATGCAGTCCATAGGGAATATGTAGGGCATCTGGGATAAAAGATGACTGAAAAGTGTTTATACTTTCATGCGACAGCTAAAGATGCTCTAGCATCACACACAACATAGCCACAATGGCAGACCTTAAACCAGTTTCGGAGACTTGTTTTTGACTGTTTACTTTTTCTGTCCCTTTCATTTGAATTCCAAAATCCCCCGACGCAAGTTTTAGTAATTACTAGTAGCTTTTAGTTTGTTTTTGGCTGCTTTTAAGTCAGATATGCTCAGTCGCCTAAGGCGCCTCACTCACTCACTCACTCACTCACTCACTCACTCACTCACTCACTCACTCACTCACTCACTCACTCACTCACTCACTCACTCACTCACTCACTCACTCACTCACTCACTCACTCACTCACTCACTCACTCACTCACTCACTCACTCACTCACTCACTCACTCACTCACTCACTCACTCACTCACTCACTCACTCACTCACTCACTCACTCACTCACTCACTCACTCACTCACTCACTCACTCACTCACTCACTCACTCACTCACTCACTCACTCACTCACTCACTCACTCACTCACTCACTCACTCACTCACTCACTCACTCACTCACTCACTCACTCACTCACTCACTCACTCACTCACTCACTCACTCACTCACTCACTCACTCACTCACTCACTCACTCACTCACTCACTCACTCACTCACTCACTCACTCACTCACTCACTCACTCACTCACTCACTCACTCACTCACTCACTCACTCACTCACTCACTCACTCACTCACTCACTCACTCACTCACTCACTCACTCACTCACTCACTCACTCACTCACTCACTCACTCACTCACTCACTCACAGTCGAAGTGTCACCTTTCTACATTCTGGTCCAGGCAAGTTGATGAGGTGATACCCGTTTAATAACAATCGAATTGGGTATCACACATTGTAAATATGTCGGGAATCGAACCTGTACCCGAACAAATGCTTCAATCACTGGGTTACCCGACCACCTTTATCTTGAAATGTGAAGACATACCATCCGAGAGTACATTAAATTACATGTGAGTGAGTGAGTTTAACGTGACATCGGCAATAATTCAGCCCTATCGTGACGATAAATTACATGTAATCGTTTCTATCTGAAGAACCGCCCATGGGGTGACGCATTCATTAACTGTGCATAAAAAGTGAAGCCTTGGGCTCTGCAGTGTATCTCTATATTAATACTAGGTGGTCTATATCATAAACCATATATGACTTATGTTATATATGATTAAACACAGGGTGAGGTAGACAATAGTGCTTTTATCCAGATTCATATATCATCCGTGAAATGTTCTTGGCATCGTGCAGGTGGGTAGGCTAGCCTGTAGTTATTAACGCATTAGCCCACTTTAGGTCTGATATGGGTTCACTGTGAACTGGGTAATCGGGGCCCCGTCGTGTCACCTTCCCATGCTCCTTCACTCGTGACGAACATAAAGATGAACATGACAAACAGTTTCAACAAAGGAATATGTTGTTAAGACTTCTCAACTCAGAGTGGGAAAGGCGAAAGTATAATGTGCACAACTCTCCAGCACACATAAATATGTGTAATGGTTGAAGTTCACATTAACGAGGGTAAATTGAAATGTTCGTTGCCTCATAGATATTGTTTAGTCATCACTGATGTTCAGTAACCCATTCATATACTTTTCACCTCTTGTTTGCCTTTTACGCCCAGTGCAATCTATTTTTGGCGGATAATCGAGACTTGTTTTTCTTGGGTGTTGACTGTGTTTATAGTGTAATGTGTATATACATGTACGAAGAATATCATCTCTTTGGAGACATCACTACAAGTTACTAATTACTGCATCTCTCTCAGAGAAGTCAACTAGAGAATTTGATGAGAGAAAGTGCAAAAATGGAGAAAAAATGGGAAACAAGATGTTATACCTACATTAACGGGCATATCACGTTGGAAATACATGACGACATGGAAAACACATCTGAGGATGACTTCCCTTCACATTCAACTGTTAAGAAAAGGATGCTGAAGTTATATGTTGTTAAGACTTAGCTCAGTGTGGGAAGGGCGATAGTATAATGTGCACAACTCTCCAGCACACATAAATCTGTGTAATGGTTGAAGGATGACTTCCCTTCACATTCAACTGTTAAGAAAAGGATGCTGAAGTTATATGTTGTTAAGACTTAGCTCAGTGTGGGAAGGGCGAAAGTATAATGTGCACAACTCTCCAGCACACATAAATCTGTGTAATGGTTGAAGGATGACTTCTCTTCACACTCAACTGTTAAGAAAAGGATGCTGAAGTTAAGAGAGGCAGGAGCAGCAGGGAAGTTGGCCCAAGGTCTGGCCGTCCTGTAGATGCCAAGTCTGAACGTCTAGACAAGACTGTCCCCCGGTCGGTTATAACCGACCATCGTGGTATAAATAACCTGGGGTCAGAGTTGGGTCAATGCAGGGACACCCAACATGAGCAAACTGCCCGCAAGGTTGCTGACAGCAGACCAGAAGCTGACCAGAGGCATGTCCAAGGACCTTGTGACCAGATATCAGAAGAATCCTGTATCAGAAGGGGCGGTCGGGTAGCCTAGTGGTTCAAAGCGTTCGTTGTCACGCCGAAGACCCGGGTTCGATTCCTGATATTGGTACAATGTGTGAAGCCCATTTCTGGTATCCCCCGCCGTGATATTGCTGGAATATTGCTAAAAGCGGCGTAAAACCATACTCACTCACTCACTCACTGAATCAGACACATTCATATTATGCGAATAGTGACCCAGGATGATCCCATTAACCGAGAATAGTGTTTTATCCTTGAATCATCATAATGGAGCAAGCATCACACAAATCACATATAACCAGTGTCATGGACAGTTAGGTAACTTTGGGATAACACACTCTGATTGACCAAGTATTTGGGGAGTTTTCTAAAGTAGAACATTACATTGAAGGTGCTATCTCATACATTGAGAAGTGTCCCTGTTATAACAACAATAAGGGTGGCGTTGTTCCAGCTCAATTATATAATACCGTATTCGACATAATAAGCGCCCCGCTCTAATAAGCGCCCACGGCGATATTTGCTAATATATTGGCTAGTGAACAATCCCAATTAGCAACCCTTCCGATTGAAGACTTATTTATGCATCCTTAATTATGGGCAATTAAATTCTGGAGAAATACATGGGCCATATATAAACATTTTAGGCTGTCCTACTATCCTACTGTAACTACGGACAACAAAATGTCTTCAGAGGTTCTACAGACGGTCCCAGGGAATTCTGAGACATTTGCACATTGCTCCCAACCCTACGAGGTGAGGTGAGGTGAAATTGGGTTTAACGTCAAGATTATTGCACTTATACAGCGACGTGTGTGTGTATGGCTGCTTGTACTAGTCCGGACTTATGCCGATTTATAGTGCTGGCACACTGAGAAAACCATGCCGCAGTTTAACATGAATACCCCACTCAGACAGTGTATACTGACTCCGAGCCGACCAGTCCTTGTTTTAGCCCCTTAATGCCGAGCACCAGACAGGGTAACAACAAGTACCATCTTTTAACGTTTTTTGGTATGAAGCGGCCGGGGATCGAACCCCGGACCTTCCGCTCTCCGGGCGGAAGCTCTACCACTAGGCCACGGAGGCGGTTCCCAACCCTACGAACGTCCAACACTTCGAACCATTCTCTTCTCCCTATCACCAAAAACAACACCTTCGAAAACTTTCGCAGCGTGATTCGCAATCAAGATTTCATGATTTGTTTGCGGTAATAAAATCGGTAGGT